ACGGGGGGATCTGGGAGCGCCCCAGGCCCCAGGGTCGTCGGAGAGATCCCGCCCCGGACAACTGGCTGGGCCTGTGGACGCCAGCCTGGACTGCCAGGAGCGGCTGCCCATGCGCAGCCCGAAGCCTTGCGGTCAGGAATTCTTGCTTAGCGTGTCGCTCCGCCCGTTCTTGTCCACCACGCTTCCACGCGGAGCGCTGTCCACGTCCGCGTCCTCTGGCTTCCACGCCCCGGGCCCTTCCGGGCCTCCCGCCCCGCGGAGCGGAGCGACACGTTGTCCGCTCGCAGGTGGCAGCGTGTCGCCAGGACCGCCGACGCGGCACGCTAAGCAAAAGTTCTTGAGCTTACCATCTGCGGTCCCTCTCCAATCCCACCGTTTCCTGCTCCCGTCCCGGTCGCAGGCATCCTCTACATGTTCGAGGAGGCCACGGTCACAGCTTGGCCGACCGAGCTGACCTTCCGAGCGTTCGTGTGTTCGGTGTGCGGGGCCTTGGTGTCCAGGAGTGCATCGTCGCGGCCGGCGCCGCCGCCACCGCCGTTGTCGCCATCGTCGTCGTCGTTGTTGACGTCGTCGTCGTCGTCGTCGTCGTCGTCGCAGTCGCCGCCGCCGCCGCCGCCGCCGCCGCCGCCGCCGCCGTCGTCGTCGTCGTCGTCGTCGTCGTCGTCGTCGTCGTCGTCGTCGTCGTCGTCGTCGTCGTCGTCGTCGTCGATCGTCGTCGTCGTCCGTCGTTCGTCGTCGTCGTCGTCGTCGTCGTCGTCGTCGTCGTCGTCGTCGTCGATCGTCGTCGTCGTCCGTCGTTCGTCGTCGTCGTCGTCGTCGTCGTCGCCAGTGCAAATCAGTGCATACAGCCTGCCCGTGCTGTCCCTTCGGGCCCCTCCTGGCCGCATCCTCCTCCCTCCTCTGTTGCCTCTCACCAGTTGTCTCAAGTCGGGCATGGTTCTCAGCAGGAGGAACGGGACGATTTGTCCACTATTTATTGCCCATTTGAGGCTATGTTTTGACGATTTAGATTTGTTCCAAAATCCGCCAGTAGGAGGACATTTCCGACCCAACAGTTGTCCCTCCCTCCCGCCCTCCCTCCCCTCTGGTCCCCGTCACATCCCTGCTTCGCTTGCCCTCGCGACTCTCCTCCCTCCTCCTCCTTTCCTTCCTCCGCCCCTTCCTCCCTCTCCTCCCTACGTCTTTCCGTTTTGCTCTCAACGGGTTGCCGGAGCTCCGCTGCCCCGACTTAGAGCACGGAGCCCCTGGAACTCTCGGACCCTTCCTGGGCGCCGGGCGTTTCGTTCCGTATGGTGTTCTGGTGCGCCCTGGGCCTCGGGAGCGACCCCCAGAACCCGGAAGAGAATAGCACTCGAGCAACTCGCGTCCTCGATGTTGCGCAAGACGTCGGGGGTCCCAGGTAGTCTACAGAGGCCTCTTGAGGACTCCAGGGGCCCAGAAGTGACTTGGGCGTCGCGCGAGGGGGGGGGCGATACACGGGGGGGGGGGGGGGGGGCAGCGAGGGCTGCAGAACAGGGTCGCCCTGGGGCCCCCAAAGTGAGCCCTCCGGGGCCCATTCAGGGGGCCTTGCCCGAGAGGTTCACCTGCCTTGCCCCCCCCCCCGTGTGTCGCCCCCCCGCGAGGCGACGCCCAGGTGAGCGACACCAGAGAACGGGGTCGTCTGCGCCGACGTTGACGCGTGAGCTGCCCGCGTAGGGTCGGGGGTCAGCGCCCCTGCTTCCAACGCTGGCGTGCCGCGCTGGCGGCCCGCGTAAGCCACCGCAGAAGGTCGCTATGCCGACTCGCGTCGAGCCCATTTACCCCGACCCCCGACGTCGTGATTCTCATGGCGTGCCCCATCAGAAGGCTGGACCCCCCTGCCGGGGACTGGTTTCTGACGGTCCCGAGGCCCGGGAACGGCCCCGGGAGGGCGAACATGTGGAAAAGCCTCCCGTCGTGATTTGGCTCACAGCGCGAGGGGCTTTGGGTTTCCCGTCCCCTCCTCCTCCTGCTCCTGCTCCTCCTCCTCCTCCTCCTCCTCCTCCTCCTCCTCGTGCTCCTCCTCCTCCTCCTCCTCCTTCTCGTGCTCCTCCTCCTCCTCCTCCTCGTGCTCCTCCTCCTCCTCCTCGTGCTCATCCTCCTCCTCCTCCTCATCCTCCTCCTCCTCCTTCTACTTGTCCTCCTCGTCCTCCTCGCCCCGCCACGATCCTCCATGGGCGAGGGCCACGCCCTTCTTGGGCGGAAAACGGGCGTGGAGGGCCCGCGGAGAAAAAGAAAAGCAAAAAAAAAAAATCCTCCTTCTACTTGTCCGTCTCCCTTCTCTCTCCTTCCTCCTCCTCCTCCCTCCTTGTCCCTCCTCCTCCTCCTTCTCCTCCCTTCTCTCTCCTTCCTCCTCCTCCCTCCTTGTCCCTCCTCCCTTTCCTCCTTCTTCCTCCTCCTCCTCCTTATACTCCTCCTCCTCGTCCGCCTCTCCGTTCGAAGTCATCCTGGTGGTCAAGCCAACTTATACTTCGGCTTCGACCACCAGGAAGAATTCCGAGCACCACGAAGGTATCGATATTGGAGGGTTTGCACGCGTCGGGATCCAGGAGGCGGTACTCGATCGACGCTTCGCTGGCGCGTCGGGCGTGCACAGCTTCGATGCCTTTCTGGGCGCTCGAGATGTTTCCTGGAGTGTGGCTCCCAAGTGCGATGGGATCCACATAGGAGCCCCTCCTCTTCTTCCCACGGGCGCCGACGGCGGAAACCTCGACGACGACGAGGGAAGGGCGACTGCGGTGGCGGCCTCCGAAGGTCCCCATGAGAGGCCCGGGCCCCCGCAGGCGAGCCAGGGGCCGAGCGGAGCTTGATAGAGGCCTCGGCGCCGCGGACCTCGACGCCCCGGGCCGCCCTGGTCGGGAGCTGAGCGTTTCGTGCAGTCAGCCCGCAGAGGTCAGGATGGGCAACCTTCACAAGGGTACCCCTGCATCCTTGCCTTCAGTCGGGCGTGCTCCTCCACAGGAGGACTATTCAAAAATAGTAAATCACGTCAGGGGACGATGTTTGGCGCACTTTTTGATTCTCATTGTTGCATCGTTTTCGGGTATGCTTTATTTCCTCCCAAATCCGCCTGTAGGGGGACATGCCCGACCTAATCCTTGCCTCCTCGGTCCATCCCTGGCCACTTTCGTTGGCCGCGCTCCGCTCGAAAAGCCTCGAGGTGGCATTCCAAGGCCCCTGCATCCTCATCGCGCATCCTTATGACATACGGGCCGAATGTATTTGGGGGGCTGATGCGGTCGGGGGCATCTTGGTTCAGCGTGCCGTGCCGCCGCTGCTGGCCCACTGCGCTTCGGGGCGGCAGGGTCGCCATTTGGCGACCCCCGAGCCTTCTGGAGCCTCCCGCCTCGCGGAGCGGAGCGGCGCGTCATCGGCTTGCGGGGCGCAGCGTGTCGCGGGGGCCGCTGGCGCGACGCGATGAGCAGGAGTTCCCGACCGCGAGGAGGGGCGATCGAATGCAGGAGGGGGGGGCCCCCGTCGGGGCCCCGAACGTGCAAGAGGGGTGCACCCATCTCCACCGTCCGTTCCTGGCCCCCGCCCCCCGTTGAGACGACGACGACGACGACGACGACGACGACGACGACGACGACGACGACGACGACGACGACGACGACGACGACGACGACGACGACGACGACGACGACGACGACGACGACGACGACGGCGGCGACGACGGCGGCGGCGACGGCGGCTGCGGCGGCTGCGGCCGGCGGCCGAGAGCCGCCCCGCCAGGGCGCTCTTCAACCTCGCCGGGCAGGACGTCCACAGGCGCCGCCAGCCCCTCCTTGATCCTCCTCCTCCTCCTCCTCCTCCTCCTCCTCCTCCTCCTCCTCCTCCTCCTCCTCGGTCCTCCCCCTCGTCCTCCTCCTCCCCGATCGTCCCGCTCTCCCTCCTCCTCCTCCTCCTCTTCCTCCTCCCCTTCTCCGCCTTCTCCTCCTCCTCCTCCTCCTCCTCCTCCTCCCTTCGCTCTCCTTCCTCCTCCTCCCTCCTTGTCCCTCCTCCTCCTCCTCCTCCTCCTCCTCCTCCTCCCTTCGCTCTCCTTCCTCCTCCTCCCTCCTTGTCCCTCCTCCTCCTCCTCCTCCTCCTCCTCCTTTTTTCTCTCTCGTTCCTCCTCCTCCCTCCTTGTCCCTCCTCCTCCTCCTCCTCCTCCTCCTCCTCCTCCTCCTCCTCCTCCTCCTCCTCCTCCTCCTCCTCCCCCCCTCGACGTCATCCCAGGATGCGGATTTGAGGGCGCAGTTTCGCGGATCGAGGCTTGTTGGCGTGTTCGCTTGTGTTTCTTGCGGGGGCCTGTTTGACACCTCTCGGGGCTGAGCAGCTGGGGACCACTTTTAAACCTCTGCAGACCTCAGAGACCGTCGTCGTCGTCGTCGTCGTCGTCGTCGTCGTCGTCGTCGTCGTCGTCGTCGTCGTCGTCGTCTCCTCCCTACTTGTTGCCTCCCGAGGCCAGGCTAGGCTTTGGGGCCCAGACGAGAGAATCCTATGCATCGTTCTTACAGTCAACCCGCACAGTAAGGATGAGCGATTATCCAAGGCTACCCTTGTGTCCTTGTCCCTTCGGCCCATGTTCCGCCAAGGCCCTTGCCTTCTTACCGCGCAGCCTCATTCTACGGTTTGACTGTAGCTCGTGTAGATGTGTTCGCAGACGTGCCCTCACAAGCGTCGCATTCTCTGTGCGTTTCTAGGTTGCCTCTCAAGCGGAAGCTCGGGGATCGGCCCGAGCAGGCCCAGGAACCGGCCACGAGTGCCTCCTCGGACTGTTCGACTGGGGAGCCTAGCTTGACATCCTGCCTGGGCCATCTTGGCATCCTACCTGGTCCATCTTGGAGCCCTCGGTTTGCTCTTGGGAGCCCAATCTTGGGCCATCTTGGTATGCCTCCTCTTGGCATCCTACCCGGGCCCCCTTGGAGCCCTTTTCTTTCTCGTGGCTCGGGGCCGCCATGCCGATTGTTTTCGGGATCGCGGCGCTTGTGGCCGATGACTTGGGCCTCTCAAGTGGGGTCCGAGGGAACGATTCTGTGATCATGTTTGGACTATCAATGAATATGTTTCTGAATGTTTTTCAGTTTACTTTCAAAATCCCCCTGTAGGAGGACACGCCCGACCTGAGCCGAGCGGGGCGCGTGCCAAGACGTCCCAGTCGAGGTAGGACGGACGAGCAGGACCGAGCAGATGGGGTCAGAGGATCGCGCCGCATCGTCAATGCATCGGCGGTGCGGCTCGATGTGGAGTCCGATGTTCTCCTCCACGACGAAGGCGCCGACTTTCTCGGTGATGCCCGGCGCGATGCTCCAACTCCGTCCCAGTGGGGAGGCTTCCAGATCAGCAGGCGGTGTTGTTTGCCTGTCTGTGCGACTCCTGGGACGACGGCGACGGCGACGGCGACGACGGCGACGGCGCCGATGACGTCGTCGTCATCGTCATCGTCACAGGTCGTCTTCGCTCCCGCTCCCGCGGGAGCTCGTGCTGTGCGCGCTTGCGCGCGCGCCTGCCCGCACAGGGTGCTCATCTACACCCAGGACCGCTGGGAGGCGCGCGGGCACGCGCTCCCCGGGGGGGGAGGCAGGGCTCACCTCCAGGCCTCCGCTTCGCGATCCGATTCGATGTGTCGTCGGTCGCGGGAAGTCGGCATTGCTGGATGCCCAGATCCCACTCTATTTCTGGCGCCTTCCTCCTTTCGAGAGCCGAGTGGTGCTCGCCCCTCCTCTTCATGGGGCGGGCGGGAGCCCAGTCCACTTCCGACGCCTTCCCGCTTCATGTTTCTGCCCACTCCGTCCGACCGACGGGTTTCGATGCAACCCGATTCCGATCCGGTTCGACTTCAGATTCCGGTGTGGATTGTCCGATTTCTCGGTTGAGGCATTGCTGGCTTGCCGATTTCGGCCGATTCGACATCTCCCGACTCGGCTGCCGATGTGCGCCGATTCGATCCATGTCGATCGCCGGTCCGACGGATCTATTCGATCCTGGATCTCTCCAAGATGGAGAGGCGCGGCCGAGCGGGGTGCGTGCCAAGACGTCCTCGTCCAGAGCCTCGGTCGAGAAAGGACTGAGTCGTCCATGTCCCTCTCCAGGAGGAATCATCAAAAGTAGGTCAACAACAAGCCTGGGGGACGCTTTTGGTCGAATCTGTCTCGACTATTGTTGGATACTTTTTGACTAGTGGTACTTTTTGACTTGTGCTGCGCTGCCGCGCTCCCGCCACCTGAGGAGGTGACTTTGCGCCAACCTGCGATGACAGGTCTCATCCAGACTGACAGGATGAAAGCCTTGAGCCTGGGAGTTCAGGCAAAGGAGGAGACGCAGAGGGCGTCCTCCTCCACAGGCACGTAGCGTGTTTTTCAAACGTTTCGGCCCCGTGGGGGAAAACAGCAAACAAAAATAACAACTCCTCTGAAATCCGCCTGCAGGGGGACATGCCCGACCTAAAGACTGGCGGGACGCGCAGGACGATCGGGACGCGTCGAGCCTCGGGCCCTTTCGGAGGGCCCGCGGCCGCCTTCCTGGCGGCGTTCCGCCCTCCCGCGCTCGGCCTCCGTCGGGCCAGGCGTGAGGCCGAGGCCCCTCTGAGGGAGTCTACCCAGCTTTCTCGAGCAGAGTTGCCCAGCGTCGTGGATCGGAGAGCTGTATGTCTGAAGGAGGAAAAAACATATAAACTTGAACTTTTGGCGCTCTGCGCGGAGTTCTTGGATCCGCGCGCGCGCTGGGCCCCCTGGCGGCGCCTCTGGCGCCGCCCTTGGTGCGCTCCGCGCGCCAGGGAGGGGGGTCCAGCGCAGATCCAAGAAATCCGCACGGAGCGCCAAGGGTTTATGCTTATGCCGTGTTTTCTTTCCAATGTGGCGCGCATGGGATCGTAAGTGAGGGCACGCCGGTGCAGTGTTTGTCGTCGGTGTCGGGCTGGCGTTTCGTCCCGCCGCGGGGCTCCTCTGGGCCAGAAGGCCTCCCGACGACGCGCAGGCACACAGCAAGGGTCTGGGCGCAGTTCCCCAGCGCGTGCGCAAGCAGCGAGAAGGGAAACGCATCCAGGCCCCGACCCTCCCTGCCATAGCATGTGTCCTGGGCTTCCAGGTTTGGAGGTACAGGCAACCCGCGTCGTAAGGATGAGCTCGGGGGTGCCGCGGCCGTTATTTTCCAGGCTTGCGCCGGCCAGGTTTGGGCCCGAGGTCGTTTTCACTAAACCACGTTTTACTCGAGGGAGGTCTGTCCATCCCCGATGAGCGACATTCCAAGGTCACTCTTGCATCCATCCCCTTCGGCCAATCCTTACGCTGGCCAACCTCGTTCGAACACTGCCGCGCATCCTCATTCCACTTTCTTTTGCAGCCCATGCGAAGCCCAGCGGCAGAGACAGGGACAGAGGCAGGGGGAGGGGGAGGAGAGTTAGGGGGGAGGGGGGGGGGAAACGGGCCGCGCGCAGCGGAGCGCCTTCCGGGTCACCCGGGAGCCCCCATGCCAGGGCCGCGCACCTAGCGCTCGGCCAGGCGCACCCGCAGGGCCGCGCGCCACGCGGCGTCGGGCCCTCCCGCGCGTATGCCGCCGGGAGCAGCAGCCGACCCGCCGCCTTCGCCGGCAAGACCGGGATGTTGGCGCCGCAGGGCGGGGGCTCGCGAGCCGCTCCCACGGCGGCGCCCAGTGCGCACAGTGCAGGCACGCCACCCAGCCGGGGCCTTGGGATGCGCCGTGGGCGCGCCAGCCGCCGCCAGCGAGCAGCTCCCGCGCCGCGCCGCTGCAGCGCCCTGACGCTGCGCCAGCGCCGCGGGCGCGGCCAAAGCAGCGGCCACGGCGCGTGGTCTGCCTCCTGGGGCTGCCGCCGCCTGGGCCCGGGCGCTGCCCGAAGCCGGCGTACGCGGGGGCCGCCCGGCCCGTTGCTTCCGTGGCTGCATGGCCTTCAGGACCTCGAGCTCCACCGCGGCCAGCATCTTCTGGAGCGCTGTGAGCGCGGCGAGCCGGACTGCCCACCCCTGCCGGAGGGCTGCCGCGGGCATGCGAGCAGCCGCGGCGGCGCCCGCCAGACGATCGGCAGCCTCGTTCCCGAGTCGGTCCCCCTCGGCCATCCCGCACCGCGCTGCCGCCTCTTCGTCGAGGTGCGCCTTGACCCACCACGCGGTGGCGAAGCTGGACTGGCAGTGGGGCGCAAACAGGGCCCACAGGTCTGCGTGCTGCCATTCCCGTGGCGAGGCACCCGCACGGAGGGCCATCACGCCATCCCGGACGTACTGCGAGTCGGTGATGACCTCCACCGGGCCGTCCGCCGCGCAGACAGCATGCAGCGCCGCGGTCACTTCGGCCCGCTGTGCCGTCTGCTCGCCATCCACGGACCCGAGCGGTCGTCGAAGGGCGAGCCAGGGCGCTCCAGCCGCAGGCCCCATCCAGCGCGCTAGCAAAGGGCCCTCCGGGTGCTCGCACGCCCCGTCCGTCCAGGCCCGGCAGCGTTGTGGCGGGGGCCACAGCGGGCGGTGGCATCAGGGGGGCGGGCTGCGGCGCGCTGGCGGCGGCGGCGAGCGCCGCCAGCGCGGGGCCCTGCGGCAGGGCGACGCCGTGCGGCAAACGTGCCAGCAGTGCAGGAGCCGAGTGCCCGGCAGCAGCGAGCGTCGCCTGCGTCGTGGCAGACCAGCGAGGGCACTGCCAGAGCTGGCGCTGCCGGTCTTCCCGCGCTGCGCCGCGGTGCGGGCAACGCACAGGTTGCCCCCATTTGGCCGCCCCTGTCCCACGTTGTCGGTCAGCACGGCCCGGGAGCTCGCCGGCGGCATCGGGGACCAGCTGGTCGCTCTCCAGCAGGCGCCGCGTGGCCCAGCGGTCGATGGCCGCGCCGACGTGCGCGAAGTCAGCGCGCCTGGCAGCGGCCGTGCGGGCCTCGCTGCGCGCCCAAGCCTCGCTACACGGGTTGGCTGCGCCGTCCGCGAGACAGGTTGACAGGTGTGGGGGCACCGTCGGCGAGAGGGGTGCGGTAAACAGCGTTCCCAGACCCCCCACGTCATGATTTTTTCATGACGCGACCCCCAGAGGTCCGGACCCGTCCCCCGGGACCGGCTTTTCATCCCGAGTCGTTTTTTGACGGTCCTGAGGGCCGGTGAGGGCCCCCGGAGGCCGAAGATAGCGAAAAACCCCGCGTCGTGATTTTTTCATGACTCGAGGGGGTCTGGGTAAACAGCGTTCCGCGCTCACCTGTGGGCGCTTCGCTCCCGCCTCCTCCTCGCCTCCTCGCACGGGCGACGCACACGTCCGTGCTCGTGCCCCGCAGCCGTCTGGGCACCGAGGCGACGGAGGCCCGATCCCGCGGGTTCACGGTCATCCCGCGGTGCGCTCCGCGCGCGGCGCCTGCGCAGGGGCGCCCCGTCTCCACGGGGTCGCGGCGGAGGAAGTGGAGGCCTTCACTCAGGAGGGGAAAAAACACACAGACACAATGAATCGTCGATTCCCCAGAAAATGTGGAAAAGTATGGGAAGTGGGGGCGAATTGACAGAAACCCAGAAAATATAGGAAAACAGGGGGATTCCTGTGAATTGTGTGTATTTATGTGTGTGTTTGTGGGCCTCTTCATTCACGAGAGCTGGAGGCTTCCACGCGACGGCCGGACGTCGGAGATCGCAAGGGCCGCGACGTCGGAGACCACAACCAGAGCCCTCGGCCCCATCTTCCTCCAGCCGATATCGCTCCGTGCGGGCCCCGAGGCCCGGGGTCTTCCGGAACCGCCTCCCCCCCGCGAAGAGAAATTCGGGTCGGGCGAAAGGGGGGGATTGGGAAAGGGGGGGTTACGAAATTTGCTGCATGCAGCTGGTTTCGGCCTCGCCGAGGGGCCCATTCCTCGATACATAGCCGCCTCCGGCGCCGGGAGGCGCCGGGAAAATCAGCTACGTGAGCTGATTCTCAAACCCCCCCTTTGCTATCCCCCCCTTTCGCCCGACCCGAGAAATGACGCGCGAATCTCAGGGCCTTCCTGCCTAGCTCCCGTGCTTCTTGTCCTTCCCCTCCACCACCAGCACGGCAGGCTGGGCCCTCTGGGGCCCTCCAGGGTGCGGCAGTGTGCGCTTCGTTGCGTGTTCAGGCTGTGCTCTTCCGTCGAGAGTCGCGAATCACACCCCACGACGAAGATGCTCTGGAGAATCTCCGTCGTGTCGGTTTTGACATTTTTTGGGGGAGGGGGGGGCGGTTCGCGTCTCCGTGGCTGGACGCAGCTCGAACAGTTAGCCTGGATGGAGTCCGGGGTCGAGTTGGTGGCCAGATTTTGAACCGAGCTGGGCTGATCCTGGAGGGCACGGGTCTTGGAGTTGTTTCTCCCGTTTTGGGCTCAACGCCCGTTTTTCATCGCATTTACAATGTGGCACAGCGTGACGCAATGCGGTACAACGTGGCACGTATACGATAATCAAAGTGTGTCGAGCTGGTGTAAGCAACCAAGCTGTGTTCGGCGCGCGACGGCGACCGTGTCTTCCAGTAAGTGCATGGGCCCAGGGTTCTCTTCGTCAGTCGAGCATCCGGCCCTTGACCAGGGGAGTGTCGAACAGCAAATTTTGCCAAGGGGGGGCTATATCCATTTTGCATCTGGGTCTCGTGCGGTTGGCGCGCGTTTTCAATAGAGATGCACCGAGGCACCATGGGGGGTGTCCAACATGCGGACGGGGGATCCTGCGAACGTATAAGTACGTGTGTGGAGATGTGTATCCAGCATGGCTCTGGCAAATGTTCGGCATGCCTTCACGTATGTGGGCCCTCAGAGGTGGTATCCGAGGTTGTCCAACATGCGGCCAGCGGAATCCTCACGCGTAGAAGACGAGTACGCAGGGAGGGGCACGTATCCAACTTTCGCCTGGCCTATGCATTTGGTCCTTGATTTCACGTGTGCAGGCCTCTAGGGGATGTATTCAGCGTGTGGCCTCGGCTGGGGTTTCGCGCCCAAAGGGGATTCACCATGCGTCTGGCACGCATGCAGTTGGTACGGGATCTCACGTTTGTAGGCCCCTAGGGAGGGGTGCCGAACCTGCAGCTGGTGGATCTGTAGCAAACAGCATGCGCGGAGGATGCTATCCAACATGCGACCCAAACGGACTTCTCACGCGTAGCGGTACGTGCGTGAAGGGATGGCCAGCACGCGTTCGTATCACCTGCATCTGGAGTGTGCTTCAACGTCTACAGTTCTCCTCCAGGGTCACATCCAACTTGCGACCGACGGGTTTTGATACGTCACAAAAACGAGGGCGGAGTGGGCGGGGCATCCAACATGCGTTCGGCACGCCTGCACTTGGCACGAGTTTTCACGTGGACTAGGGCGCTGTAGGGCAAGCTCCCTTTGGGCCACTGAGCTTGTAATGGATGCGCCGAAGCGGGCGGTATGAGAAGTTGGGGGGAGACGACAGTCCAGAAAACCTGGGCAACATCTCTGGGCACTGGGATCTGTGTCTATTTATATGTGTATATATATATATATGTATATGTATATATATATATATATATATATATATGTATAGGTGTGTGTGTGTGTGTGTGTGTCCCTGGGCCCCTCCTGCCTCAGGGGTTGTAGATGGAGCTACTGGGGGGGCACGAGCCGTGCGAGATGTGACCTGACATCGGTGGGGGGGTACGGCGTGCGGACTGTGCTGCTTGGGCCGTCTGTTGGCATTGGAGAGCGCGGGGAAGGGAAGAGGAGGAGCAGGAGGAGGAGGGGGAGGAGGAGGAGGGGGAGGAGGATGAGGGGGAGGAGGGGGAGGAGCAGGAGGGGGAGGAGGAGCAGGAGCAGGAGGAGGAGGATGAGGAGGAGGGTCACCACCCACCAAACCACCCCAACCCAGCCCGAAGGTTCCAAGTTTGCCCTCCACTCCAGAGGGGGGAGGGGGGCGTCGGGGAACATGGACAAAAAACATATGTCGCATGTGGAACCCGCACCTCCCCTCCCCAACACGAATTTCGGATCTGCGGGCTGGGTTGGGGTGATCTGGCAGGTACTGTCGGAGGCGGAGGGAGGGGAAGGCGGGAAGCGAGGAAGGAGCTGCGGAACGAGGACTGGACACCACAGGAGGGTTCGGGAAGCATGCAGCATCGGGCACCTGCTGCGCGCTACGGTTCCAGTCGGGCTCCGCCCTGCGCTGCGGCCGGTGGCGTCGCACCGCCGGGGGAGAGGGCACAGAGCCTGAGCACTTTTGGGCTCAGCTGGCGAGGCCCTCAGGCTCGGGCCCCCTCTCTAGCTCAGACCAGCGACAGGGCGGGGGGGGGCGTTAGCAGAGGCGCAGCCCATACCCAACGGCGCAGCACCTGAGAGACGCCACTTCCGTCCTGGCCAGCCCCTCTCCCCCCATCCTGCGGCCCGTCGCCGCTGCAGTCGCTCCGACGTGCTCGCCCCGTGGCGCCTGCATCCCCGCCTCGCATCCCCGACAGGACAGAGGTGCAGCGACCTCGCTCATTCGCCATGCAGCTCGGCAGTGTCGCGCACCTCCAGGGGCGCCGGCATCCGCCCCCCCCCTGGCATCCTCGAGGAGGCCCTGCACGCACGGAGAGAGGCCATGGCGCCTCGAGGCCCCGCGCGCGGCGCCACTGCCAGACCCCCGACGTCGTGATTTTTTCATGACGCGACCCCCAGAGGTCCGGACCCCTTCCCCGGGACCGGCTTTTCATCCCGAGTCGTTTTGTTGACGGTCCTGAGGGCCGGTGAGGGTCCCCAGAGGCCGAAAATAGCGAAAAACCTCTCGTCGTGATTTTTTCATTGCTCGAGGGGGTCTGGGCTCCGCGCGAGGTGGGCACCTGGAGCTGGATGGACGTGCCCTTCTTCGTGCTGCTCGCCGGGAGCATGGGCCTCCTCAGCGCGCTCTTCTCGCGGGTGGGCCCGCCCGCGGCCTCTGCTTTCCGCGTGCGGGGGGGGGGGCAGGCGCGCAGGCGCCCGGGGCTGCCAGGGGCGTCCCTGTCGCAGGGTGCCCCCAGGGGTAGGTACTCGAAAAGTATGGAACTCCCAACAAATATCCAACAATAGACTCCAATAATAAAGAGTACCCCAAAAATATCTCAAAATAGTCGAACAATCGTCCCCGCATTATCTTCGAAGCGGTGAAACGATACCGAAATGATATCTTCTGCAGCGCTCTGAGGGACCAGGATCCCTGTTATCCTTCTTGCCCCAGGAGGCCGGGGCGCCGCGCCGTCGTCTCCTCCCTCCGCCCCCCGCCCCCGTGAAGGGTGGGACCCCACGGCCTCCGGGGCTAGCCCTTGCGAGGCCCGGGCGGCGCCAGTGGCTCCAGAGCGGAGCGGGAAGCCGGGTGCACCTTGGGCCGGGGATGCCACAGCCGGGTGCACCTTGGGCCGGGGATGCCTTCCAGCGGCCCCCAAGCCTGGGGGGGCTGGGCCACCGCCCCCTCTTGGAGCAGCAGCGCGCGCGGGATCCGAAGACGCATTCTCTGCCGACGGCGCCTCTGCTCGCTCGCGCCGCGGGCCCGTGTCTGCCGGTGCCGCTGCCGACCGTCGTCGCCGGGGCTGGATCCGCCGCGAATCTCTGGGGCTCGGCACCCCGGGAGAGGTCCGGGGAGCAGCGGTGTCGGGGCCCTCGTCTTGTCTCAGGTCGGGCCTGTCCCCCTACAGGGGGACTTTGGGCGAAAGAGAGTAACTATACTCCAAAAATATCGAACTCCCAACAAATGTCCAACAATATACTCCAATAGTAAAGAGTACCCCAAAAATATACCCAAATAGTCGAACAATCGTCCCCGCATTATTTTTTAAAAACTGTTTTTGAAGATTCCCCCTGTAGAGGGGCAGGTCCGACTTAAATCTTGTCCACCCTCAGGAGGGGAGGAGCGCGACTGCTGGTGTGATCTCCCATGTCGGGAGGGGGCGGGCCTCCAGAGCGACCCTCGCGAGGCCCAGAGGGCCCCAGGGGCTCCAAGATGGAGCGGACATCGGGCGGGGCTACAGGTCGAGAGTGAATACGTTCCAGAGCGACGCTCGGAGAAGACCGCGGCGCACGAGGCATCCTCCAGAGCCGCCGGATTTCGGAGATCCTCGATACCCATCCGAATTTACACTCGTCCTGGCTTCGTCTCAGGAATGCTTGGGGCACCCCGCCTTGGGCCACGCACGCCTCTGGCTCAGCCCCCTGTCGCAGAAGGGGGAAGGAGCGCGACCTCGGGAGCGATCTCGTTGGGGAGGGGCGGCGGGGGACCCCTCGTTCCTCGATTTTCGGCCTCTGGGGGCCCTTACCAGCCTTCGGGACCGTGAAAAAAGACTCAGAGCCAAAGACCCGTCCCAGGGAATGGGTCGAGACCTTTTGGGTCGACGTTATGGCAACAAATGACGTCGGGGGTCTGGGAGAGGTCCTTCGCTCCTTGAGGAGCGGCGCGTCGCGGCCCCCCTGCCTCCACGTGGTCCGACGCTGCGAAGAAACTGCCACGTCGCGCCAGGTTGCGGAGCCGTTTTTCTGAGCCGGAGCGATCCGTGAGGGCCCATGGGGCCCGACACCGGCCGAAAGCGCCCGCGGTGCGGAAGAATTGCAAGGCCCAGAGGAGGAGGAGGAGGAGGAGGAGGAGGAGGAGGAGGAGGAGGAGGAGGAGGAGGAGGAGGGGGAGGGGGAGGAGGAGGAGGAGGAGGAGGAGGAGGAGGGAGGAGGAGGAGGAGGAGGAGGAGGAGGAGGAGGAGGAGGAGGAGAGGAAGACAGGGGAGGAGCGAAGGAGCGGTCCCGAGGGGCGGAGGAGGAGGGGGGGAGGGGAAGGGGCGTCAAGGCATCGGGCTTCGCATAGGCAGCCCCCCCAGGTATTTCTGGCTGGCCTCCACAGGCCCCCCGAGTAGACTTGAGTCGGGCATGTCCCTCTACAGGAGGAATGCTCAAACATAGACAGATCATAGTCTGGGGACGAGTTGTCTACTCTTACGTCGGGCATGTCCGCCTGTAGGAGAAATGCCCGACCTAAGAGTAGACCCAGCTGGCCTCAACAGGCCCCCCAATTAGCCCAGGGCTGTCTCAGCAACCTGGCGCCATCTCGGGCGGCGCCTCAGAGTTAACTCCTCGGGGAGCCTGTTGAGGCCAGCCGGGACTACATGAGGGTCTGCCTGCACGCAGCCCGAAGTTTTACCAAGGGAGTTGGGAGGAGGAGGAGGAGGAGGAGGAGGAGGAGGAGGAGGTGCAGGAGGAGGTGCAGGAGGAAGAGGAGGAGGAGGAGGAGGAGGAGGAGGAAGAGGAGGTGGTGATAAGCTCGACGTTGTCGTCCATTGCGTCGAGCGACTCCGGATGCTTGCAGTCTGATGGAGTGTCTATCTGCCACTCTCTCTCTCTATCTCTCTCGCTCTCTCTTTCTCTCCCTCTGCAGATTACGTATGTGAAATTGCTTCGCAGGTTCAATTGTCGAGCTGCGCAGACTGACGATGTTTCCATAGGCCCATGGTCGTTGCAAGGTGCATCCCTTGGCAGCGGGCCCACTGCAAGCGGTGGGACATCCGAAAGTTTTTGTGTATGCAGTTTGCGTCTTCGTCCAGTTTCGGTGGGGTAGGCTCAGGGGGACACCACCCAAATTGTTCGCGTCTCGTGGCCCAAAGGAGGCTGGGAAAGCATCTCGGGGCTCCAGCCAGGACCGAGCCTCTGGCGTAGAGTTGTTGCCGCCTCGTTTGGGGATCCAGGTCGGCCGCCCCGTTTTCGTCCTGACAGCTCTGCAAGAGCCGCGACACGGAGGCCCCCTTGTTTGCCTCTGCTCTTGCGTCGCCGCCCTTCCTCCACGGCCCCGCCGCGCCTCCCTGGGGCCCCCATCGGGGCCTGCATCCCTCGCGCAGGGGGGCCCTCCAGAGCCACCCGGTTCTGCTGCACACGCGAGGCTGCGGCAGCCGCCGCTCGCGCGCGGGCCCTGGGGCGAGCGGACCCTCGGGTGGCGAGAGTGGCAGGCCACCGCCCGGTTTTACGTCGGGCTTATCCTTCTACAGGAGGAAGACTCAAGCCTAGTCGAATAACAGTCCGGGGAAGATGCTGGGACTGTGCTCGAAGACCCGTTGCACAGTTGTTTTTGATTACCGGTTCACGTTTCTTCCAAGCTCCGCCTGTAGGAGGACGCGTCCGACCCAGCAGTTGGGTGGCGGGCGGTGTGCGCCCCCCCGGGGCCCGCCCCCCCCCTCCTCCTCCTCCTCCCTCCTCCTCCTCCTCCTCCTCCTCCTCCCTCCTCCTCCTCCTCCTCCTCCTCCTCCTCCTCCTCCTCCTCCTCCTCCTCCTCCTCCTCCTCCTCCTCCTCCTCCTCCTCCTCCTCCTCCTCCTCCTCCTCCGCGACCTGCGCGCCGCACTGCGCCTCCGCCCCTCGCGGCCCCGCCCCATCGCGGCCCCCGAGGTGCTGGTCGCCGTCTGGGCCTGCCGCGCCCGCTGGAACAGCCGGCTGATCGCCTGGCAGCCCTTCGCCAAGGCACCTCTCCGCGAGGGGGGCCACGCTGCTCGGGGGGTGGGGTTACCAGCCTCGAACTTATCCCTATCCCTAAGATCGACACGCCAGAAGGCGATGACAATCTCAGGGATCCGCCCTCGAAAATTCGGGAATCCCTGGGATTGGCATCGTGATGAGGCGATGCCCAGCTTAGGCATAGGGATATGTGTTCCAGGCTGGTAATTTGGATTGTTTTTTTGGGGGGTCCGGCGAGAATGTCAAGTCGGGCACGTCCCTCTACAAGGGGGAACGTCCGAAGATTGTCGAAGATAGTCGCGGGTCCGGCGAGAGCCTTTGCTGTTGGGCCCGCCCACCCCTCCCGTCTCCCTTCCCCCTGGAGAACTTGATCTTGTCGGTTGCGCAGGCTCGAAGGGGAACTGGATGACTTGATCTTGTCGGCTGCGCAGGCTCGAAGGGGGACTGTCGCGCGCAGGGGTTATCGCCGAATAACGAAAGGCGATGTTTTGCCACAGGTGCCCTCGGCCCCAGGAGTCCAGGAGGTGCCCTGGGCCTCCTGCAGCACCTGCCGCGAGGCCCGGAGCGCCCCGGGGGGCTCCAGGGCGGAGCGGAACGTGGGGGACAGCCCCTTTTTCGAATAACAAAAAACCGGCATAACCATAAACTTCTGGCTTTCCGTGCGGATTGCTTGGATCTGCGCTGGGACCCCCTTGGCGGCGCCCCCGGCGCCGCCCCTGACGCGCGGAGCGCGCCCGGGACGGGGCCCAGCGCGGACCCAAGAAGTGCGTCGCGCCTACTGCCCAGTACTGCCCTAGTAGTAGTAGTAGTAGTAGTAGTAGTAGTAGTAGTAGTAGTAGTAGTAGTAGTAGTAGTAGTAGTCGTAGTAGTAGTAGTAGTAGTAGTATTAGTAGTAGTAGTAGTAGTAGTAGTAGTAGTAGTCGTAGTCGTAGTCGTAGTCGTAGTAGTAGTAGTCGTAGTCGTAGTCGTAGTAGTAGTAGTAGTAGTAGTAGTAGTAGTAGTAGTAGTAGTAGTAGTAGTAGTAGTAGTAGTAGTAGTAGTAGTAGTAGTAGTAGTAGTAGTAGTAGTAGTAGTAGTAGTAGTAGTAGTAGTAGTAGTAGTAGTAGTCGTAGTAGTAGTAGTAGTAGTAGTAGTAGTAGTAGTAGTAGTAGTAGTAGTAGTAGTAGTAGTAGTAGTAGTAGTAGTAGTAGTAGTAGTAGTAGTAGTAGTAGTAGTAGTAGTAGTAGTAGTAGTAGTAGTAGTAGTCGTAGTCGTAGTCGTAGTAGTCGTAGTCGTAGTAGTACTGCCCACTGCTACTGCTACGGCCAAGAGTTCCTGCTAATGCCGTCGCGTGGGCCAGGGACGCCCCTAATTAGCAGCCCCCGAGATGCCACTGGGCCTTCGCCCGAGCTTGGGGCCCGAGGCGTCTCGCGCGAGGCGTTCTTGTTTTCCTCCTCGGGGCGGCGGCCTCTCTGGAGGCCTCGTGTCCCCCCTCCTCCCTCCTCCTCATCCTCCTCCTCCCTCTCCTCCTCCTGCTCCTCCTATTCCTCCTCCTCCTCCTCCTCCTCCTCCTCCTCTCCCCTCCTCCTCCTCTCCCCATCCCCCTCCTCCTCCTCCCCCCCTGTCCCCGGACCCGTTGGCTCTTGCGACGTCGGGCCCGCGCGGAACGTGTAACGGGCACCGCCGGCGATGTGGCGGCAGCTCCAGGAGGCCGGAGGCAGGGCCTCCTCGAGCTGCCCTGCTTTGCACGGCGCGTCTCGAAGAAAAACAAAAACATCAACATGCATGTGCGCGTTATGATGTTCCAACCTTCTTTAGCCTGGATCAACCGAACAAATGTCGAGCACCAGAAAAAAAAAGACCCCCAAACGCTAGGGTTTTCACGTGTCGGGCCCTGGGAGACGCTCGTCCCACACTGTTTCGACACTGTTTCGACACTCTTTTGACAGTTTTCTGGCTGCTCGAAAATATTTCTGGAATGTGGTCCTCACGCACGGTGGGAGCAACATGAAATTTGTGGCGCTCCGCGCGGATTTCTTTGATCCGCGCTGGGCCCCCACGGCGGCGCCTCCGGCGCCGACACCGGCGCGCTCTGCGCGCCATGGGTCCAGCGCGGCTCCCAGAAGCCCGCGCGCAGCGCCAAAAGATCATGTTTATGCCGTTTTATCTTCTTCTCGTATCCTGCCATGGGCCGTGCCTCCGCGCACGCACGGGCGCGCGCCCCTGTGCTCCGCAGCCGCGCAGCGCGGTGCTGGCGGGAGGAGGATGCGTAGGAGCATGCCAAGGGTGAGCAGGAGAACAGGAGGCGACCCACTGCCGTCTCTCGAGGCAGGTCCGCGCGGATGTCTTGGGCCTGCCCCTGGGCCCCCTTTTGCGGCGCCTCCGGCGCCGCCCCTGGCGGCGCGCTCCGTGCGCGCGCGAGCGAGGTCCAGCGCAGATCCAAGAAAGCCGCGCGGACCTCCAGGAGATCACGCTCGTGACGAGAAGCAGCAGGGGAAGCAGGGGCGGCACGAGCAGCACAGGCATAAGAACCAGCAGACTGGGGAGGAGGGAAAGCAGAAGGAGAAGCAGAAGCAGAAGCAGGAGTAGGAACAGTAGGAGAAGGAACATAATAATAATAATAGTACTAATAATACTAATACTAATACTACTAATAATAATAACTATAATAATAATAACTATAATAATAGTAGTACTAATAATAATAATACTAATAATAATAATGATAATAATCATAATCATAATAATAATAAGAAAAAATAATACTACTAATAATGATAATAATAACAATAATAATATTATTATTAATAATAATGATAATGATAATAATATCATAATCCGGAGAAGGAGAATCAGGAGAAGTTGCAGACATCGGGGGAGAAGGAGGCGTCCTCCGGCCTCCCCGTGCCGGGCAGGGCGTGGCCCCCTCCCCCCACGAGCGCGCTCCGCTCCTCGCACAGCGGCTGCGCTCAAACGTCTGGGAGCGCGCGCGTTCTCCTCGGCGCCGTGGCTCGCACTCGGCCCTCTGCGGGCAGCTCGGCTCCGCGAGTCGTGGACAGGCGCGCCTGTCGCCGCCGCCCGGCGCCTGCCGCCCTCCGCCTGCCCTGGGCCTGCGCCGATGGCCTGCCGCCTCCTGCCTCCCGCCTGCCGCTGGCCGCATGCGAGCCCTGCCCCCCACGGCCCCACGATGTCAGAAGGGGGGGGACGGTGGGGCTCCCCCTCGCTCGGGGGGCCCCGAACGGAGTGGACCTCACCTCCCCCCTCGCATGCAGGGTAGGGGGGAGGGAGGGGGGGAGGGGAGGGCCAGAGGAGGAGGAGGAGGAGGAGGAGGAGGAGGAGGAGGAGGAGGAGGAGGAAGAGGAGGAGGAGGAGGAGAGGGAGCCACGCCTCCTGGAGCTGCCCCCACATCGCCGGCGGTGCCCGTTACGCGTTCCGCGTGGACCCGACGTCGCAAGAGCCAACGGGTCCGGGGACAGGGGGGGGAAGAGGAGGAGGAGGAGGAGGAGGAGGAGGAGGAGGATTGTTCTTGGAGTTGAGTTCCCTACCCCTGCCTCCACTTCCCCCCTCAGCCTAGGAGCCCTCCCCCTTCTCCATCCGCGAGGCCAAGTTGTGCACAGGACCGGTTGGATGGGGGTTGTAGTCAGCAGGAATCTCTTGAGTGGTGATGTTAGTGTTACACAACTCGTGGGGCATATGTCGCTTGAAGTACACATTCCTGTGGAGATGCCATTCTGTGTGGATACCCTTCGAGACTTCCCCTGGACGGTCGAAGAGGATCCGTGGACTGTCGACCCTTGATGTCACTGCTCTTTTTTCCCCCTCTCACCTGTCCTTGCTTTTTATTTTCCCCCACGCTTAGATAGGCGGCCAAGACAGACGTCTTCAGCTACTCGACTCGACTCGAGGAGGAGGAGGAGGGGGAGGAGGAGGAGGAGGAGGAGGAGGAGGAGGTACCCATGCCGCTACCCTTCCCTCGTTATCCCTTTCTGGGCCTCCTGGGAGGCCCTCGTCGCCACCGCTGGATTCGCCATAGGTTGTTTTGGGTAGCGGTATTATTTTGGTTTCCCCATAGTTGGGGTCCAAGTGGATGGGTTCGAAGGATCGTTCCGCATCGCTGATGCCTCGCCGACGCGGCTCGATGTGGAGCCCGATTCTCTCCACGACGACGGCGCCGATGTATCGCTGACTTCGCAGGTGCATCGCCAGTACATCGCCGAGTCATCGGCGATGCATCGCCAACGTCTCGGCGATGCGGCGAGATCCTCCGACCCGCTCCATCCGGCCCCCATCCAGGAGGCCTCTCGGATGTTTTGCTCGAGCGAGAAAGAAGCAGTCCCCCCCCTCCTGCACGGCCGCGGCACTCGCCCTGCTCTCCCGACCCCGGGCGTACTCTTCCCCACGCTTTCTGCGGACAGCAGTGAGGGATCGGCACGGGGCCGCGCGGTGGACGAGGAAGAACGAAAACAACCCCTCCCCGGGGTCCGCTTCGATCTGGTGGGTCCGATTCGCTTCTGGCCGGCACGATCGGGCTGGATTCCGACATTCCAGCGTTGCGAGGCGGCCCAGCGCTTGCTTTGGCGCATGGCACTGCTGGGCATCTTGGCGCGGCCGATCCGATTCGATTTCGGTTCCATGCCGCGGTGCAGCCCCATCCGACGCACGTTCCGCTCCGATCCGGCTTCCCGATTCGATGTTGGCCGTCCCTGTTCCCTAAGGGGACCCCTCAGAGGAGCAATGCCTTGTGACAGCGATGCGTGTCAAGATTCCCTGGATTGCCACAATTTCCCATCGTTCCGCACGGGCTCCAGAAGAAACGAGGGTCGCCAGATGGTCGGTGCTCCAAAACTCATTTCGCTCACTCGGAGCCAATTCCACCATGGCATCATGCTCGTCCCAGTCCCAGAAAAACAGTCGGGGCGCTGACGAAGGAACCCTTTTCGTTGGGGAGGGGCCCCGTGTTCCTTGGTTGTTTCACACAGAGTTCGCCTTAGGTTTTCCTTAGGCCTTCGATGGGAGATCGAAGTTTAGCTTATAGAACAAAGGGGCCTCGTATACTCGGGGTTCCTTGGGTCAACGCCCCGACTGCACCGACAGCTCTACTCCCCGCGGGGGCGGAGCGCGGGCAGGGGGGACGGCGGGACACGCGACAGGTGTGGCGCGCAGCCCGTCTCGGCCCCGCCGCGGGGCATCTTCCCTGGCACCTGGCCGCCCCTGGCGCCCGGAGCGCACCCGATGCGGCTGATTTTTGCGGTGATCGCCCCCCGCAGGTCCGCCCCCCCCCCCCCCTCCCCCCGCGTTCGCGGGGCCCGCCCCGACCCGGAATCCAAGATTCGTTCCGCCCAGGCGGCCCCGAGGGACGACGGTGGCGGGGATGGGGGAGGCGATGCCGCCCGTGCGGCCGGATGCACGTGGTAATGGGGATGATGGTGGTGATGGGGGGATGGCGATGGTGATGTGAAGACGATGAGATGATGACGAGGATGGGTATGACGATATGATGGCATGGGATGGTGAAGTGTGGTAGTCACATGAGATAGCCGGCGTAGTGTGCCGCCGGAAAACCAAGCACGTATGCGGAGGGAGACAGAAGATTGAGGGGGACCAGCGCTCGCGAGCAGGGTGGAGGAGACCAGCTGGGAGTGGTGTTGAGGATGACGTCTGAGGATGAGGGTTGAGTAAGAGGGGGGAGAGCGAGCAGGGGGAGGAGGAGGATGAATGAAGATAGAGGCCTGGGAATCAAGGTGAAAAGCGCTGCGGAGGAGATTTTTGGTTACATGGCTGATGGGGAAAGCTGCGGTGGAGGGAAAAGGAGAAGTAGGAGGCACCAGGTGGAATAATGAAGGGTGAGTGGGAGGGAAGTAGGACGAGGACGGCGAAGTTGGATGGTTGACCAGGACGGATGAATAGAAGGGTTAAGATGTGGGGCTGAAGAGCTGGGTTGGGGAAGCGGGACGGTGACGAGGCTGCTGGTTGAGCTGGGAAGTCTGGTTGCGAGGGGTGGAGGGGCCCTGTTCCTCCACCCGTCTTTCCAGCTGGCCCCGTCCGCCTCTCCTCCTCCCCTCGCCTCCTCGCCCCTCCTCCCGAACCCGCCGCCCTCGCCGGTTGCGACGGGGCCCAAACCCGGGAGCCCGTGCGGCACGACGGGCCTTCCTCCAGGGAGGGCAGACCACCCCCGGAGCCGATCGCTGGCGCTGGCTGCACGGCCCGGGGCGGTTGCTGAGCAGCCCTGCCCCCGCTCGCTTTTCCTTCCCTGGGTGCGTCCACTGGGCGGCTTCGCTTGGCCGGGGTGGTTCTCATCTCGTGGGGGTGGATCTGCTGCCCTCCGCTCGTGGCCCTGGCCCCCCCCCCCCCCCCCCGGGAGGTCCTCGAGTGCATCCTCTACGCCTCGCTCTGCGCGGCCCTGTTTGCCCTCGCGCCCCTGGTCCCTCGCGAGGGGGGGGGGGCGAGAGAGGGGGCGGGCTGGCGTCGGCGCTCGCAGGGCCAGCGCCCGCGTGGGGCCCTCCACCTCCTCCTCCTCCTCCGCCTCCTCCTCCTCCTCCTCCTCTCCTCCTCCTCATCCTCCTCATCCTCCTGGACCAGAGGTGGACCACCTCTGGGGGGGGGAGGGAAGGATGGTCACCAGAGGAGGACAGATCGGCGGCGGGCGATGGGGGGAAGTGAGAAGGAGAAGGCCTTCTCTCAGAAGGCGGCGGGACTTCTCAAAAGCCCTCGCCCCTTCTGAGAAGCTGTCTATGTCTTCGGGGAAGGCTTTGAAAACTTATGAGAAGGCCCGTGGACTTCCGAGCCTTCTGAGAAGGCACGCCCCTTCTCACTTCCCCCCTCGCTCTTCGCCGAGAGGAGGAGTGGTCATCAGAAGAGGAAGAGGTACCGATACCGCTACCCTTGCCTCGTTCTCCCCTTTGGGCGCCTCTCGGGAGGCCCTCGTCGCCACCGCTGGATTCGCTTCGAAAGTCTGGTCAGAACGCACCCGGGGAGAGGTCTGGGGAGTAGCGTCATCGGTTCTGTTTGGTTCTCCCCGGTCAGACACACACAGAGGGGGAGGTACGGGGGAGGAGGGACGGCTTCTCAGAGGGACCCCTGCTTCTGAGGAGGCGCGGGCCTCATCTGTAGATGTAAGGCTGGCGCCGTCTAAGGAGCAGCCGCCCTTTAGGAGGCCTTCCCTCTCTGCCTTCACTCCCTTGTCCGCGCCGCCGAGGTTAAGTCGGGCGTGTTCCTCGACAGGAGGGATATTCAAAAATAATCGGAAGATAGTATGGGGACGTTTCTTATAGTCGAAAGATAATATGGGGACGATTCTTTGACGATTTTTGCGTATTTTCATCATGTTTAGAGTATTTTGATTTTTTCGCCCAAAATCCCCCTGTAGGGGGACAGGCCCGACCTGGGCCGAGGTGGAGGATCGGGGAGGCGAGGGCCGACGATGCAGGAAGGCGAGCATCGAAGCTCGAGGGCCGAGGTTCGAGGTTCAGGGTCCGAGGGTCGTGGCTGCAGCGTCGAGGCTGGAGCATCGGTGGATCGGGGCTCGAGGATCGATGGTGGAGGGTCGAGGATGTGCGGGCCTCCCACATGGGGTTGGGGCAGGTGGGGTCGGAGGATCGCGCTGCATCGCCGATGCATCGGTGATGCGGCTCGATGTGCGGCCCGATCTGCTCCACGTCGACGTCGCCGATGCATCGCCGACGTCGACGATGCATCGCTGGTGCATCGCCGATGCATCGCCGATGCATCGCCGATGCGGCGCGATCCTCCGACCCCACCTGCTCCGACCCCATCCAGGAGGCCTCTGGAATGGAGGGTCGAGGATCGAGGATCGACGGTCGAGGATTGAGCAGAGGATCCATTGTAGAGCTTCGAGGATGCAGGATGCAGGAGCGTGGGCGGGGCATCGAGGATGGCGGATCAATGATCCAGCTCGTCGGATGAAGTATTGAGGGTCGCGGCTCGGTGTTCGAGGATTGAGGATCCACGATTAGTGATGAAGCATCGATGATTGAACAGCTAGCTTCGAGCTTCCAGGATGCATGATGGAGGACTGATGATGGAGGATCGAGAAAACAGGGATGGGGATGGAGACTCGAGACAGGATGTTCCAGATTGGTTGACGCTTCTGTATTTTGTTTCACCTCGTGGAAGGTCCTCGTCGCCACGGCTGCGTCCGCAACGCTGTCCTGGAGTTATAGTGGCCCACCTCCGACGCCGTGTTTTTGTTTCTTTTCTTCTTTTATCCCGGCGCGTTTCCTCTGTTTCGCCTTCCGGGCACAGTCAGACTTGCCTGACATCGAGTGTGAGATTCCGTGTTGCTCCCAGGAGTAACCTCATGCCCGTGAGAATAAACACTAGGGGATAATAAAGTTCGGGGTTCAGGGAGAGATAATAAAAGTAGCCCAGCAGACCTCAGCATAATCTCGAAGTAAGAGATGATCAAGAGGAGACCAAGCCGAGCACGTTTTGAGACATCCTTGGCGTTTAGTTTTCATAGAAATATCATCAACAATGGCTATCTCTCATGAAAATTGTTTTTTTGTAAGTGCTCGTGTAGGGTAGCTCATGTGCCTCAATTTCCATGGATAATCAACCCCAGAGATAAAAAAGTTCAGGCGAGCGTGGGGACAGAGAGAAATATAAAAGAAGAAGAATACAGTAGAAGAATAATAAGAAAGAAGAAGAAGAGGAGAATAAGAAGAGGACGAAGAAAGGAAAAATCCAAAGTTCCAAATCTATCAATTTTAATTTACAAACGCTTTATGAAAATTGATTTTTTAAGTGCTCGTGTAGGGTAGCTCATGTGCTTCATTTTCCATGGATAATCAACCCCAGGGATAAAAAAAGTTCAGGCGAGCGTGAGGACAGATAGAAATATAAAAGAAGAAGAGGAAAGTAGAATAATAATAAGAACATTGCTCGTTTCGTTTGAGTCTGCCTCCCAAAATTATTGGTTTCGCTTGACACATCCTGAAAAAGTGTGATCGCTTCGCTTGATGTTGCTATATCAACATCGCTTGATGTTGCTATCTCAACATAGCGTTTCGAGGTGATAATGAAGTTCGGCCTCAGCGCTCGCCGCCCAATTTGAATTTTGTATAGGGCGACGATAATCAACTCTAAACACTGAAGGGGGGGGGTCCCTTTATTATCATCGGCATGCGGTTACTTCGCGAGGTATCCCGTCACAGCAACATGTTGCCAGCCAGCAGGAGTGCACTAGCACGGGCAAAAATGAGCGCTCGGCTCCAAGAGCCGCTTGGGGGGGCCCTGGGATCATGTGGAAGAGGGCCGAGATGGAAATCTGGCCTCGGGGTAAGGGCAGAGAGGTCCCGCGGCCACGACGTGTTGCACAAACGCAGCAGTACGGCGACGGAGATATGTGCAGGGAGAGGGCCTGGGTCTGTGGGACCCTCGGGCCGTCTTGGGCTTGCAGACGCCCGAAAAGGCGGGAACGCAAACATCATTCAAAACATAGTGACAATTACTCACTGTTGCTTCTTGAGGCCCTCGTGGGCGTCCTCTTGAGGGGCCTCTTTCGGTGTCTTGGGCCGGTGCACGGTCGTCATGATTGCTCGTGAGGGCTCCCTGGCCTGTTGGGCATCTTGGCGGCCACGAGTGGTAGATATTGAGGCTACAGGGGCCTTGGAGATGCGTTAATGAGCTCAGACCCTCCCATCCAGACGGATTTTGGACCCCAGGGGGGGGGGGAAGGGGATGGGGGGACGGACAGAAACCCCACACTTCTTTTCATCCTTGGCTAGCGGCGGTCGGCGGAATTGAACTGATGTGCATTGCCGGGCCCATCAGACTTGCGTTGTATTGAATTGCGTATGGTTATTTATGTATGTTTTAGATACACATGCACATATATATATATATATATATACATGCACACACACATATATATATATATATGTATATATATATATGTATGTATACATACATACATACATACATACATACATACATACATACATACATGCATACATACATACATACATATCTACAGAGAACCCCGAAACAGCTCTGGAGGGCCCCCGGAAGGGCCCGAAACGGCACCGGAGCTCCCCAGAAGAGCCCCGAGACGTCCCATGGAGGCCCCGAGACGACCCAAGACAACTTCCAGGCGGTCCAAGATGTTCTCCAGACGGCCCCATGAGCCCCAAAGACGCCCCCTGACGGCTCCAGGCGGGTCTAAGGGGTTCCCCGAAATGGCTCCATCAAGCTAAAGTCGTCACAGTCCTTTCGGAAAATTGACATTTTCAGCATATTCGGCTTATTGGTTTTCGAAGCGTCCAAAACGGCCCCAGAGGCCTCCAAGATCGCCCAAGACGGCCCCCAAGAGGGCCCAAAGATGGCTCCAGACGGGCCCAGGACGGCCCAAGAGGCGCCCAAGACGACCCAAGAGGACCCCACGAGAGGCGCAAGAGGGGCTCAGGACTGCCCACGATGGCCCCAAGACGGCCCGATAGGCGCCCAAGATGGCCCAAGACGGCCCCAAGACGGCCAGCGAGGCGCCCTGCCGGCCCAAGAGGGCTCCGAGAAGCCCCCGAGGAGCCCGAAACAGCCCCCATAGAGCTCCCAAACGGCTCCCAAGAAGCGTCAACATTGCTTCCAACAGAGGGGGGCGGCCCCTCGCAGGCGCAAAAACAAAAGTTTTGACGCTCCGGTGGCCCTGGGGCTGCCCCGCTGCAATCCCTACTTTGCCGCGACGCCGTTCCGACACCTCCGACGCGGCCTGAGACGGCGCCGCGTTTGCCCGAACCCGCTCCCGCGTCCTCCGCGATCCCGGCGCGAATCTTCCAACGTTGCTCAGGCCTGGACTCCTGAATTTCTGCCTCTTGCGAAGCTCGAACACTTCGGCCCCCGTTTGGATACATTGGGCGCCTTCCGTGGGGGAACAGCACTAGAACAAGCTTCAAGGGATCTACGGCAGTAGCTGGCAGCGTCGCACCACCCAGCGCGCGCCACCATGCTTCGATCCGCCCAACTTCGTGGATTTAATCCACGGGTCCACACTGGTATACAGATATATATATATATATATATACATTCACATGCTGGGGTACTGGGGGCCTGGGGCCCGGTCTGGCACCCCCCTGTTTCTGGCCCACTACGCTGTCGACTCCCTTCTGGGCCCCTGGGGGCCCGCCTCCGGCGGCTCACAACAGCTCTTGGATTGGAGGGCGCACGCAGGCGAACAGAGCATCCCAGCAGCGTCGACTGCGTCCCAGGATGCCCTCGAGACGGCCCGAGAGGCACCCAAGACGCCCCGAGAAACTTGTCCGTAGCTATTTTGGCTCAAGCCGATGCCATTTGGGCTCAAGCAATGTTGTCTCGATCGAGGTGCATCGACTTCAGCTTTGGATGTGCTCCAGCCGTCTTACCAGTATGGGCGAACAGTGAGCGGCTTAAACGAGTTGTGTACTCGCAGTTCAAGTCCCAGATTTCTTTCACGATGCGCCCTCCGCCTGCAAAAAGCCCGGACAGCTATTGCAAAGAGTGCGCTTCATTAGTGTATTACGAATGTCGGTGTACCTTGAGAGGTTGTATTCACACTTTGCGTGGTGCTGCCAAAACAGAGCCGCCAGGGCCCACAGCCTGTCAAAGCGCATTCTTGCGTGCACTCTCACCTTCGATGACTTGTTGGACATGTTGTGGAGTCAAAGAGGTCGGTGCTACTACTCTGGAGCTCCTCTCAATTATCTGCGGCCGAACTCCCACTGGCGACTCTCCTGCGAGCGTCTCGATAACAATGTCGGGTATACACCCGATAATTGTGTGTTAGTGGCTGCTGAATTCAACGCGAGCGATTACAGCGTCAGCCCGCGAGTTGTTTCTGTCGTTCGGGGTTCAGCACAGTGGTCGAGGCAAAAGGTGGAGCAAGTGCCATATTTGCGAGACAGTCCCGTTGAAGTAGATGTTTTGGGCACGCTTGTGCGGGAAGCGCGTGGTTGTAGTCGTCGCCTCAGGGTCCAGGGCCTTCACCGGGTTCGGCACAGGGAGCCCAACGATGTTGGTGAATGGAAGTGTTCCGTTTGTCAGATGTACAAGCCTTCAAGCGCATTCCACCGAGTTGGAAGAATCGACGGGGGGACAGCCATACCGGTACGCAGTTCGTGCGCAGATTGCGCAAGCGAGTACAATCGGAGATATTCGGCATCATTGAGAGGCGGCATGCAAAACATATTTCGGAATGCTAAAGCCCGAGCTCTGAAACGCGGCCTTCCATGCTATGTTAATTTTGATTTGCTTCTGACGAAGTTTTCAGAGCAGCATGGGCGTTGTTACTACTCGGGTGTGCCATTGGCTTGTGCGCAGCACTCAGACTGGCGGGTGTCTTTGGAGCGCTTGCGCAACACCGAAGGATACACTTCTCAAAATTGTGTTTGGGTGGCCAACGAATTTAATACACCTGACTACAGCCAAAACAAAGCCAAATTCCCTGTATACGGTACAGCGCAGTGGTCGAAGGCCAAGGTTGATTTCATTTGGGGCGTGCGTGAACGCGAAAAAAAAAGACTCCCCGAGAAACTTATGAGATGCTCCCCGAGAGGGTCCCAGGAGGCAAACAATTCCACGTTCGGGAAAACGTTCATGTTCTACAGCTTCGCTTTTTGGGTCTGAACAGCGTCCAAGACGGCCCAAGAGGCCCCGCGGTTCTCTTTGACCCAAAGGGGGGTCCAGCGAGTGCAATAGATTTGCGAGTCGGGGAGTTCAACGCATTGCAGTTCGCAAGTGTATGGTTGCTTTTTTGGCATGCAATACATGGGTTGCAGTACATTGCAATGCCCTTTTGGGGCGCACTACATGTGCATAATCATTGCCCCAAATCTCCAACACCACCCCGCTTCAGCTGGACCCCCAGCTGGGCCCCAAGGAAAGATCGCCCCAAGACGGCCGAAGAGGCCCCCAAGAGGGCCCCACGACGGCCCGAGAGGCCCCAAGGAAACCCTAGGACGGCCTGAGAGGCCCCCCGATTATTGTCCAAAAGGCGCCCCAGACGGCCCAGGGGGGCCCCGAAAAGGATCAAGTCGGGAGAACTCTAACTGGCGTGGCGTGCCCTCCGCCACGAGCGGGCCCCCGAAGGCGCATGCAGGCCGCCGCGGGCGCCCAAGAGGCCACCAGGGGGCCCCAGAAGGGGCCCCCCAAAAGAGGCCCAACCGTTGCCCACAAGAGGCCACGAGACGTTCCAAAAACCGCACGCCCGAAACCCAATCTCGAGCATGCGTCGCTGCCGGGAACCCCCAGACGCATGCGAGCACTGGTCGGGGCGCGTCAGCGGGGAGGGACCTTGCTACTCTACGGGTAGGGGGGGGGGGGAAGCTCGACCGCCCACACGCGGGGCAGGCCCCAGGCGACGCACCCACCTACTACGTGCCTACGCAATAGGAAATAAGGACCCGAAAGCTGGAACCCAAAGCCAGCGAGGGCGCTCTTGGGCCCCCGAACTGTACCTGGCGCATCTGGATGACACGTACTTCGCTGGCTCGGCGAAAGCGGAATTCCACGGCCTGGATGCTTGGAACGCGCGCATCAAGACCCATGGCATGAAGCAGAAGATGTCTAAGACGCAGATCTGGACCCCGGATCCCCAAGCGGTGCTACCGCCCCAGTTCGCCCACTATGGCCAGTGCGGATTTCCTGGGAAAGCGCTCCCAGGGGCTCCCCAGGGGTCCCAGGTGCTCCTGGGGAGTTTTGAGGGTTTAGGTCCTCGGCCGCAAACCATGAGAGACCGTCCCCGGGGGCTTCCCGAGCGCTCCCAGGCGCTGCCAGAGGCTCCCCCAGGCGTTCCGACGGCGCCTCTGGCATTCCCTACCCCCTCGAGCACCCCGTCCCGCCGTGCGAGAGCGGCGCGGCGCGCGCGGGCCTTGTCGGGCGTACCCCAACGCGCGCAAGCGCTCCTGCGATGCGCCGAAGCAATCGCCCGGTCGGGCGCACCCCATGGCGCCAACGCGAAGCGCGCGTGGGCTCTGTCGGGCGTATCCCAACGCGCGAAAATGCTCCTGCGACGCCCCGAAAAACTCGCCGGGTCGGGCGCTCCCAAGCGCGCCACAGCGCTCCTGCGATGCCCCGAAAAGATGGCCCGGTCGGGCGTGCCCAAGCGGTCCAAACCGTTCTTGCGATGCCCCGGAGAGATCGCCCGGTCGGGCGTATCCCAACGCGCCAGAGGGCTCACTGGCGCTCTTGTCCGAAACCCCACGAGCGGGGGCAGGTGGGGAGAGCTGCTATAACCCGAAACTCTAAAAGGGAAAATGTAGGGGTGGCCTGGGGCGGGAGAGCCAGAGACGCAAGCGCGCACGCTGCATCCCACCCCAACAAATTTGGATATGGGGGTGAAACCCTAAATTCTAAACCCGCGCACGGGAAGCATGCCAAGAGACCCCGACGTACAGGTATCCAAGACGCCTCTGGCCCAAAATTCTGGTATCGTGGCGTTGGGGACCGAATGCCATGGATACGCAAGCAGTTGGCCCAGCGACGGACCCATCCCGACGCAATCATGTGTAGCGCAGAGCGTGGGTCTTTTCATATGCTGCGCGTCGAGGGGCAGCGCGGAAAGCGGGCTGTTGCGGAGCACGCGTGCATGGGCACGTGGAAGTCTTTGTGGGGGCACTATCGGCGTGAAGGTTGTGCCGAATAATTTGGGCGCCCCCGCGTGAACACAAACGTTTAGGCCGCAAGTGGAATTTTTCTGTGCACGATCCATGCGAGGCGTATTCCGAAATTTGCTGGGGAATGCCGTGATTTGCGTGACGGATTTGCCGACGCAGGCGGGGTGGCGCCGTACGAGCATTGTCCCTTAACCTGTAGGTTGTGTGGTGTTCTTGGTGGGCACTATCCGGTGATTGGGGTGCTGCAATAGCAGGGGGGTGCGTTCGCAATGCGAACCCTGCTGGGGCCGTCCGTGGAACTCCTTGCGGGCCGTCCGTGGAACTCCTTGCGGGCCACGGGCCGTGTGAGAGAGGTGCCGACGTGAGCGGAGCCACGCTGTGAAGCTTCTGCTTTAAGTGCCACGAATCCGACACTTGCGGGGTACCATCCGCACGAGGGGCGTACCACTATGCGAACCTTGTGCCTGGGGAGGTGGGTGGAGTTCCCTTTGGGGCACGATCCCTGTGAGGGGTGTGCCGACATGGGCGGGGAGGGCGGTAAAACCAAGCCGGTCGCTGGGGCTGTCGGTGGTGTTCCCCGAGGGGCAAGACCCGTGTGATTATATATATACATATATATATATATACATAGAGACGTGCATATATATGTATATATACACGTCTCTATATACCAGTAAGTATATGTGTATGTACGTCGTCCGACGTCGGGCACGTTAGACTACAACTAGACCGTGCTAGAACCTAAGCGCGCGCGGAGCGCGCGTGTCTCTAACTGCTATATGCTTTGCCGTCAAATGTTTCGCGTTGCGTCGACATGCATTTCTCTGCAATGCGGTGCAATGCATTGTGTTAATTTGCCTTGCATTGATGTGCATGCATCGAGTTGGTTTGGGTTGTAGTGTTTTGCTCGGCGTTGCACCGTACCATGTAGCGCTGTCAATCATGCCATCTGATTTGCGAAGCATGGCCTTGCTTGTTCGCACTGTACTTCGTTAGCCAGTCAAGAGTTCGTTTCAAAAGGTCGCGTTGCTTTGCTTCGATTGCCTGTGCTGTGAGCAACTCGGTATTTCGTTGCGTTTGGTTTGAGCTGTTTTTTGCTGCCGCCTGGCTGGCATGTAGACTGATCGTTGTTAGAGATGCTTTTCAATGTATTGCATTTCTTCCCATTGCGTTGCGATTGCCGCGAGTAGGGCATTGCGTAGCATAGGGCCACACAGTGTGCCATCTGGCACCGTCGTGATGCATGCAGTTTGCCATCGACTTTTTCAATCGTATTGCATGCTTTCAGCGTAGGAAGCTTTGCTGCCAGAGTGTCAGGAAATTTGTTTGGGTCGTTCCAGTTTCCCATGCTGCCTGTCACCTGCACCTTTGCTATAATATGTTCATTCGGGCTCTTCGGCAGAGCTGGGAAAAATGCTCGGTTATGCTCCATCAAGTATATGCTTGTACGCGGAGTCTGTGCGGCGGCTCTGCTTGTGGCAACATTGATCTGCATGCTCGTTAGCCGACGCGTGAGGCCTGTCTGGCGTGAGCAGGGCGCAGCGTGCTAAGACAGTGCCGAGAGGGGTCTGGAGGTAGAAACTTGCAGGATGAGCAAAGCTTCCCCCGCTCATCTCAGGTCACCGGCTGCACCGCCGAGGGTCACTTTGTTTCCGACAGCGCCGTGGCTGACATGGTGGCGTACGGGAAGAAGAACGCCTCGGCAGAGACGAGCAAGGCTCGCCAAGGGGCGGGGATCGGAGCCCCAGCTCCTCTGTCGTTGTGAGCGACGTTGCTGGGGCGTTGGTCAGCGAAGCCCCCCCGGGCGAAGCCATCCCTCGGATCGTCCAGGAGGGGCCTCCGTTCCGAACTGCGGAGGGGAGCTGCATCGCGGAGGGCTGCAGGCGTGGGGATGGCGCCCGACGTGCGTCGCGTGCCCGTCGTTGCCATCCTCCGGCCTGCCTCCGGCCCCGGGGGCCCTCACAGAGCGGCCCGGCACGGGCGGGGCGGTCCAGGAGACCTAGCCGAGGCCGCGGGGTCGGGGGGGCCGGCGGCGGCACGGGCAGGGCCGGCGCCCAGTCTGCCGGCCTGGGCTTAAAGGTGTCGCCAGCGGTGGGCCTGCTTTCCACCACCGCCGCCAGAAGTGGGAGGGGGGAAGGAGGGCGGAAGGTGGAGGACGAAGAGGAGGACGAAGAGGAGGACCAAGGAGGAGGACGAAGGAGGTGGAAGGTGGAGGATGAGGAGGCCTTTTTTCCACCACCGCCGCCAGAAGTGGGAAGGGGGGAGGGAGGGTGGAAGGTGGAGGGTGAGGAGGAGGACGAGGAGGAGGACGAAGGGCCTCCCAAACTCCTGCTTACGGTGGTGGCGGTGGGAGGGGGGAGGGAGGTGGGAGGTGGAGGAGGAGGAGGAGGAGGACGAGGAGGAGGACGCAGGGCCCCCTGAACTCCCACGTCTGGCGGTGGCGGTGGAAGACACCGGCCCACCAGCCACGGGGGACACGGCTCCCGAGGTTTTTGTCGCCCTTTTCAGGCTCTCGGGGCCCTCCGCGGGCCCTGGGGCTGCCAGGCAACGGCTCAGGAGGAAGACCTCGTCCCGGGGCCAGGCCCGCTGGGTCCAGGACTCGTGGCCCTCGGGGCCCGTTTCCCACGTGCTGGAGGCGGGAGGAGGAGGAGGAGGAGGAGGAGGAGGAGGAGGAGGAGGAGGAGGAGCAGGAGCAAGAGGACGAGGAGGAGGAGGAGGAGGAGGAGGAGGAGGACGACGGTCGACGACGCCCTTCGCTTCAGCCTCCGCTCTGGGGTGGCTGCGCCTGCGCTGTGCGTTGGCCTCCCGTGGACATGCCCGTCGCCCAGAGCACAAGTCAGCAGAGAGGGGGGGGGCGGTGCGAGAGTTGCCAGCCCTGCTTACCATCTCCATGGTCTCCTCTCCTCGTCTGCCTCCGTCCGATCCTGCATGCCACACGTGCGAAGCGGTGGGACCATGGGCGCGGTGACACTGTGTACACCGAAATGGAGTACGCCGAGGGAAGCTTCGCCGTTGCCCTACAGCCTCGGAGCTTCGTCGTTGCCCTGGCCTGCATCCGCTGAAACCGCGGGTGGGAGCATGCTCCGCGGCTCGCGCGAGTCAGCCAAGCATGTATGGCCATTGATTGCGCTTCTCTACCACGCGGATGCTTGTTGAAGTGCTGGCCGCTTTCCGTCATCGTTTGTATGTTTGTGTTCGCGTGTTTTTGGGAGTTGCGCCACGTTCGGCCAGCGTCACCTCATGACTGCAGGAAGTTCCTAGTGAGTCTGCGCAGGGTCTCGAACGCTTGGAGTCGGTTTCTCACGGCGTGTCTTGCACACCAGCTTGAGATCTTTGTTTCGAATATATATATATATATATATATATTATATATATATATATAAATATATAAATATACATATATACACCGATCTACAAACACACATACTCAAAACAACCGGAATGTTCGAAGGTTCACGCGGGTTTCTCGGATCCGCGCTGGACCCCCCTGGTGGCGCTTCGGCGGCCGCACCAGGCGCGCGCTGCGCGCCAGGGGTGTCCATCGCCGATCCGAAGCTCTCGGTTTGCGTAGTCTGCGCAGGCTTTCCCCCCTGGCTCGCTGCTCACAGAGGGAGGGCCCCCCTCGGCGGCGGAGCTCGAGCTCTGCCCTCCCCGACCAGCAGCTCACTGGGGTCAGGGCTCGGGAGGCGTCGACCGCGCGGCCACATCCGCACCGCGCCGCGCCTCCAGCCGACGCAGGAGAGCCGACGGCTCGCGGAGGCGGGGGCCCGGACGTCGTTGCCCGTCTCCGCCTGCGCGAGCCCGCCCTCAGACCGCGCGCGTGCTGGCCCGCTCGTGGCGGGCGAGCGCCTCTGCCTTGGCCTCCCTCTGCCCATGGTGCGGGCGTGGCCTTGGCGGGGCCGGGGGCAGCCAAGGGGGGGGTGACGACTATGGGGGGGGCGGATAGCATGGCGGGGGCCATGCGATTTCCCCAGTCTTCGTGGCGCGTCTTCTGATTTGCTCACGCCCGTGGCCCCCCTTTTGGGCCGCGCACGCGCCGCCGGCCATGATTTGGCACCTCCCCCTCTCGGACGCCCCCCTCTTGGCCGCCCCCGACGGGGGTGGGGCTGGGGGGGCGCCCGGTCTGGCCCAGACACTGTCGAGGCCCTGCTGTTTTCGGTCCAGGCTCCCCGGAGGACCCGACCCTGACCGAGCGCGCTCCACTGCTCGCAAAATGCCCACTCGCAAACGTCCGAAAAACAGATGTCTGCACCGATGTAATGTATCGTAAATCCCCCATGGCGGATCCAGGCCATTTGCGAGTAGTGGAACACGCTTGTCTAGACCCTTTCCTCCCGAAGGCGGCCCCGTGGCCCGGCGAGTGCCCCGAGGGGCCGACAGCGGCCAAGAGCTTCCCTGTGCTGCGTTTCCTTGGCGACGCGGGCACGTCCGGCGGGGGGCTCCTGGGGTCTGGCTGGGGGTGTGCGTCTGCGCTGGGGGGCCACGGGGAGGGGGGGGAGCGGGAGGCCGTCTGGGGCAACGCTAGCGGGGTACAGGCTCAGCGGGGAGAGGCATCGGCCCTCCGCCCTCGCAGGAGGGTCAGGGGATAGGCTCGGGTTCGAAGTTCCAGCTTTTCTCAGAGGTTTACGTCCGCACTCGGCGGCAGTTTTCCAGCTTGGGCATGCGATGCAGCAGCCGCGGCTCACCGAGAGTGTTCCGGGGCTGCTCGGATGGTCTTGGAAAAGGCCGTCGGAGAGCCGATCTACGACCTGGAAGCCACATGACAACGTCTCGAATCGCCCATTCATCGCCGATAGGGTTACCAGTCGGGCATGCCCCTCACCAGGAGGAATATTCAGAAATAGTCAAACCATAGTCTGGGGTGGAATTTGCTATCATGTGGGTCTATGTTTGATAATGTGCTCACTGTTTTGAATGTTCTTCCACAATCCTCCTGTAGGAGGACATGCCCGACCTAAGCCTAGCGGTGACGCTGGTCGGAGTTGCGCAAGCGGCGGGCTGTCGATTGCGGCCGAAAGCGTTTTGGAGTTTTGTTCAGAGGGCGTGCGGGCGGCGGGGAGGGGGCATGGTCATCCTCGTGGGATACGCAGGCACGAGGTGCTCGCCACGGACGACGGCCAGCTCTGGAGGGTTGCCCCGGCCGCTGAGTGTCCCTGTCCGCGCGGTGTTGCACCGCGGGCGTCGCACAGGCGGCTCGGGCAGGATGGGAGGCGGACGCGGCCGCGAGAGCGATCGGCAGTGGAACCTCCTTCTCCTGCCCGCCCTGGTAGCATGTAACGATTCACGGGCGGTGTTACCGGCAGGATGCCACCCCACGAAGTTCCATTTTCGGATTCCGAAGGTTCCTGAGCCCAGCTCCTCCTCCTCCTCCTCCGCCCCCTCGAGGGGCAAATGACTGAGATGACGAGTAGCTTTCAGGCGCCAGGGGTCCCAGGAGCGACGTCAGCGCAGTCTCTTACGCTCAAGCGAGGGCTGACCTCCTGACCCCGTCGACGGCGCTCGGAAGGCGTACGCTCATGCATGATCGAGGAACCGCAAGCAAGGGGAGGAGGAGGAGGAGAAGAAGGAGGAGGAGGAGGAGGAGGAGGAGGAGGAGGAGGGGGAGGAGGAGGAGGAGGAGGAGGAGGAGGAGGAGGAGGGAGGAGGACCTCAGAGAATCGACGCGCGCCGTGGCCAGGTGAAGCGGCACGGGCCTCCTGTTTGGGAGGGGCTTGTCTCTCCGTCCGTGGATCTGACGCCTATGCTTATGATGCTCCCACCTACCTTTGGCCTTGTTCACCAGAAAGAAGGTGGGTGCTCGCAATTATTTCATCGCTTCGCTCATGCCGCCGGCCCTGGAGCCCTCTTTAGGGCCTCTTGGGGGCCTCTTGGGGACCTCTTGGGAGTCTCTTGGGGCTCCTTGGCGGCGTTTTGGAGGCCCCCAGGGCCTCTTGGGGGGCTCTTGGGGGTAGTCGATTGCGGCTCCCCCCTCGGAGGCCACGATCCTCGTGAGGGGTGTCGAAAAATACCCTCCCCTGGAGTGGTCTGGTGGCTTCTCCCGGGCGTGCTCGCAATGATTTCTGGGATGTGCGGTCCTTTTAAGCAGGATGGGCACAGCATGAGCCTACGCGCCAGCTCTGCGGGCTCCCAGAATCCATGCTCGCGCGTGCGCAGCATGAGGAGTACACAGACGGCAGATTGCGGTGCGGGGGGGGCCTGGCCGCACGGGAGGCACATGAAAAGTCAGAACCCGGCTTGCCTTCCAAGCGCGTCGCGGGAAGCTCTCATCGGCTCCTGGCAGGTCCGGGCCCCGCGGGGAATGCGAGATCTGCAAAGTCGTGCTTCATTTCCTCTCATCGTGAATTTGTCGCGCGTGCGTTGCACGTCATCGAGACGCTCGTGTGGTCAGGGCCGACTCCGGGGAGCCGTGCAAGTGGTAAGGGCAGCCTGACCGAAGGAGACTCGCTCTCCCGAGCCCTCTCGTCGTCCACGTCGTCGACCGATTTCTTCCTGAGACTCCCGCTGCCAAGGAGGATGACCACCGGCTGAAGTTGGTGCCACACAACTGCCCGTCGGACGAGGCCACGCGCCCTCCATCTGTTTAAAGGGCTGACAGTGTTCACTCGAGTCGTCAGGCCGTGCGGGCATCTGAATCCCCCCAGGCGACTCATCCAGAACCGATCGGAACATTTTGGTCCCCCTTCCTGGTGAAAGTCTGCATTGGATTAGAGTCCCGAGCAATGCGGTGGGAAGTGCGTACCGAACCGCAGTCACAGGTCTTTTCGTTCCAGGGGTCCCCTGCCAGGAAATCGGTTCGACCGTCGGTCTGTGTCGCGCGTCCGGGCCAGGTCTGTGTCTGCAGAGATGCGCCGGAGGTCTCCAAGGAAAGACCACAGGAACTGAATCAGGAGGCAGTTAGGGCCCCCACTGAAGCCCCATCTCTTGGCCCCGGGTTCGGCCCGGATTCTCGAGAGACTCGGGAAGGACCAGAAGCCTTCTTTGAGCTCTTCGGCTGTAGTCCTGGTCACGGGAGAAGCCAAGCGGGGTTCCTTGCAGACGGATACGAGAGGAGAGGAGACGGAGGAGTAGAGGAGACGAGGACCAAGAGAGCAGACGAGAGGAGAAGGTAGGATCATTGATCAGCTTGCCAGGTCTGCGAGCGGGCCGCCTTTGAACAGACAGTCCCTGTGGCGAGGAGGGCGCGCCAAGGGGGTACACCCGTCGCCTGCGGAAGCCCCAAACCCGCAGCCTGCTACTTGTGGTTGCTGGCGGGGGCGAACCCTGGCCAGCAGCCTACGCTAGGCCTGTGCAGTCGTGGCGCAATGCGCCGGGGAGTGCCGACTCCTGACCAGCGTGCGGCAAGGCATACGGCAGACACGTCCCCCCTGATCGCCCTGCAGAGCCCCGTGCGTGCATGCCGAGGGCGCGGCGCACCAGCGCGGCGGGCATGCCAACGGAGAGTGGAGGCTCGGAGGGGAGAGGGGGGGCCGCTGCGGGGGGGATGGAGCAGAACAGGGGTGGGGCCAGAGTATGAGAAGCTCGGCGGCAGGGCCCCGGGGCCGAATCTGACCGCGCCTGCAGGAGGCAGGGGTCACGCGAGCAGCAGGGGTTTCTGTCAAGGGGCCAGGTTCACGCAGTTCGGTTTCGTCTTGTGCACTTGCTGGGGAAGAGATTCACGACGGTTCCGAACCAGCGTCGCGCTTGTACATGACGAGCCAGTTCTGAAGAACCCTGCGCAAGGGCACCAGTAGCGCGCAAGGAGTGCAAGGACCCAAAGTATAATGCATCTACTGGCCTGTGCCTCTAGGGGCGGACGATTGGATCTTTTCTTGCGCCCAGGATGCCTACTCACACAACATTTGCCCGTGCAAAACTGTTCGTCAGGGGGCTGCCTTTCATGTGGATCAGGCAGAGGAAACAAGGGGTGCCATTCTATCTTAGCGGCACATGCTTGGAGCCTCCGCCCGCTCCAGAGTGCTGGCGGCCATGGAACAAAACACATCTGTGTTTTCCGACCCCGACTGATGATTGTAGGACTCGGAGTTGCCTTCCCGCCATCCGTTGCCCCCCCCCACCAAATCGCCCCCCGCCCACCCAGATCCAGCTACTCAACTAGCTGCCGCTCTTCTCGGAAACTCTCTGGGATAGCGCACATATCTTACGCTCTGGCGTGTCACTCACAGGAATCGCCGGCCGTTTGGGGCTCTTCCGGCGCACCAGCCAAGCAAGGGGTGTGTGTTGAAATTCGCAGGGTAGGCGGACGGGATGACACAGGATCAGTTGGGCGCCGCGTAATGGGGGGGTCATAAATGGGGGGGCAGCGAGGGTGGCCCGAAAAGGTACCCAAACGGTACCTAAACGAGCCCCCTGGGGCTCTGGGGGCCCGAAAGGGGCACGAAAGGGGACCTTTTCTGACCCCCCCATTTGTGACCCCCCCATTAAGCCACGCCCAAATCAGAGGGAGGAGGGATGGGGCGGGGGGACAGGAGGGGAAGGAGATGGGGTTGGGCCAGAGCTGAACAGGCTCCACACTCTGGCCGCTTGCCTGGCCCCTCATGCTCTCCTGGCCCAACACTCCTTCACTCCTTCCACCCAAGTCCCCCAACCCCTTGAGAAGCGCCTGCGAAAACACAGGACGACGACGACGACGACCACCACCACCACCACCACCACCACCAGAACCACCACCACCGCCACCACCACCACCATCACCTGCACCACCACCACCACCACCTCCACCACCAACATCACCACCACCACCACCACCACCACCACCACCACCACCACCACCACCACCACCACCACCACCACCACCACCACCACCACCACCTCAGAGGACGATTCCTCCAGTGAGGCCGTCGCCGCTGTGGCGCCGACGCAGAGGGAGGGATCGTCATTTGCAGGCTCGTGGGCCCCCCGTAGCACTCGGGCGCAGAACGGCCTCGAATGGCCGGCCTTCGCCCGCGTCAGGATTACCCCCATTTTGCGGGGAGAGGGAGGAGGGAGGAGAGGAAGGGAGCAATCATGCTGAAGTGGGGAAAGCGGGCGGGGGGGGGAGGCTCCGCCCCCCCATCTCCAACCTTTCCTCCTCCTCCTCCTCCTCCTCCTCCTCCCTCCTCCTCCTCCTCCTCCTCCTCCTTCCTCCTCTCCAAAAGGCTTCCAAGCCTCCTCCTTCCCCTCCCCCTCCTCCTCCTCCTCCTCCTCCACAACCTCGTCCTCCGCCCTCCTTGTTCTCCTCCTCCTCCTCCTCCTCCTCCTCCTCCTCTCCTCCTCTCCTCTCCCGCCTCCTCCTCATCCTCCTCCTGCTCTCCTCCTTCTCCCCCTCTACCTCCCCCTTCTCTCTTTTCTCCTCTTCCTCCTCCTCCTCCTCCTCCTCATCCTCCTCCTGCTCTTCCCACTCCTCCACCTCCTCTCCCTCCTCCTGCTCCTCCTCCTGCTCCTCCTGCTCCTCCTCCTCTCCTGCCTCCTCCTCCTTCTCCTTCTCGGCCTCTACCTCCTCCTCTCCTCCGTCTCCTCCTGCTCCTCCTCCTCCTCCTCCTGCTCCTCCTCCTCATCCTTCTGCTCCTCCTACTCCTCCACCTCCTCTCCCTCCTGTCCCTCCTCCTCCTCCTGCTTTTCCTCCTTATCATCCTCCTTCTCCTCCTCCTTCCTCCCCCCCCTCCTCCTCCTCCTGCTCCTCCTTCTACTCCTCCACCTTCTCCTCCTCCCCCTTTCCCTCCGCTTCCACCTCCTCCTCCTCCTCCTGCTTGCGCAGGGAGCCCAACCGGTGATCCTGCGCCTCTCGGCGGATTGGCCGGCCTCGTCTCCTGGCTGGCACGGGGGCGCGGGAGGGAGGCGGAGGAACGGAGGGGAATGGTGAGGCCTGGCGGGAGCAGGAAGAGCAGGAGGAGGAAGGGCAGGGACAGCATGAGTTTGCTCTTGCAGGCGCGTGCCCCGATCAGCTACCTGCTCCCTCGGTGTAACGAACTGCCACGACAGCCTTCAAGCATAACCCGCCTGCGCGACCCACCTTCCAGAGATAGCGCCTCCTCCACTTGTTCTGGGTGGTGGCGCCGACCGCTTTGCGCTGGTCGCCGTTGAGCGTGGCCCAAGCGAATTTCTGGAGCTATCCTCTGCTGGCACGTGCTGGTGTCACGTGCTGGTTGTCACACCAGAGAAACACCACACCCTTTCTCGTGCCCGGCCCAACGCAAAGGGAGAGGACTGGTTTCAAGAGGTGAGCGCAGATACCTTGTAACAGCTGGTCAGCCACAAGTGGCCTGACGCCACTGCAGAGCTGTAGGGGGCCGTGCAACTGCTCTTGGGACTTTGCCGGCAGCTCCTGGTTGCGCGCGAGTCATGCGGCGGTTTCCCTGCGATCCCGAAGGCCTGCAGCTACGCATGCATCGAACAACCGCTCGTGGGCGACGATGTGTGCCGCTTACGCGACGAGCACGGTCGCAACTCGGTACCCTCAGCGATTTGGAAAGGGGGCATGTGGGACCAAGCGGGCGAGATCGCGCGCTGCCCCTTCGCCGCGACAGCCGTGGCAGCCGACGGGACCAAAATGCGCCATTCTGGAATGCCCTTGGCCGAGTCCGCCACAATCGCCCTCGCCACACGCACTTGGCCAGCGAGAGCACGTACAAAGCCGACAGTATTGAAAGTCTCGGCTGCGATTAGCAAGGATTCGAAGCTCCGTGGTGCCTGCGACGCCCATGGTAGATGGTAGATGCGATCTGGCGAGAAGTCGGGTCAGCCGCGCGATTATTGCAGCAGAAGTGCTTCTGAAACAGGCGCGTGACCTGCATCTGTAGGGCGCATTCTCGTGCGCCGCCCTCCGTTGGTCATAATCCGCCACACCGTCAAGTGAATAAGCACGGGTCGCTTCAATATCGAATGTTTTCCCTATTCATGTCGCCGGCGGGGCATTGCAGCCCGCAGCGTCGGTGGGGCGGACACCGGTGATCCGCGTGCCCTGCATGGTGTACGTGCTCGTGAGACCCCGCGGGGCCTCTTCCGCTACGACTTGCCGAGATCCTAAATCAGAGCCCCAATCATCAGGGCTGGGGGTGGTCAGGGGTGGCTGGAAGTTCGCTCCTGGGGTGGCCCAAGCTGGAGTCACCTAGGACCGCAGTTATCCTGGATCTTTCGGGCGTCCAACCCTTGCGAATATTTGGGGCTGGGGGCAGTCAGGGCTGGCTACGGAGTCGCACCTCGGGGGCCCAAGCTGGAGTTACACGCCAGGACCGCAGTTGTCCCGGATAACTCGGGCGTCCAGCCAAGGTGCACCTTGGATGCAATTGAAGTCATTGCCGCGTGACGAGGTTCATTAGCAATGCAAGACGCCTTCTGGCCCAACGGGACAGCCGAGGAGCACAGAAAGGCCGAGGAGCAGTTGCGACCGACCTGGGGTCTTGCGCCAGCACTCCGGCTTTTGTTTGGCGGGCACCGAGCTCTCCCCGCCACGAATTCCACGAGCCCTGAGGGCGGGGGGCGAGGCAGCTGAGACGCACCCGCTGGGCGCAAGGGCCGCAGACCCCATTTGGGATCCAAACGCACCAACAGCCGAGCCGCGCTTGGCTTAATTAACTCGGGCATG